TGGGGGGGGTGGAAATAAAGTGCTTTTACGTGCTTCCAGCAGCAACCATCTACCTTTAATCCTTTAATTGTTGGCAGACCCTCAGCTCAGCCCAGTCACGGCCAGAGGGGCTTATGCTTGCAGCCAGTCATCCCCCAGTCATCCCCCAGTCATCCCAGTCAGTTCTTGGGGAGCTGGCTATTTCTTTGCCTCAAATTGCATCAACAAAAGGTGGGGAGGGAGATGGGATCCCACAGAAGAGCCGTGCGAAGGAGGAGGGGATAAAACTAAAACCAAAAAGTGCTGTTTTTAAGAGATACTGAACTAGAATTTAAGTCGGGCCTAGCAAAAATGTGTCCAGAATTCTGTTAATGTTGATCCTTTCACTGGGCTAACCCTTCTCTCTACCCTGAGTAAGAGTTTAGCAGGGAACTGAAATGGTTCAGAGCTCTCAGTGATCACTTTCCACCTCTCCCATTAATCTGCAGGCTACAGGAATTTATTGCACACCCTTCAACCTAATGCAGAGCACGAGCCACGCATCGTCTGGGCTGCTGCGGTGCTGAGTTCACGTGCTGTGCTTGCCCACCAGCAAGGGAGACAGATTGCCAGAGAATGCCAGGAGAGAGCTGTTAGAAAGGTGAGGCTTCCCTCAGAGAAAAACCCACTTTTTGTCATTTTAACCAGAGCCAGTGAGGCTCTTTATGCTCCCTGGCATAACTGATGAGAAGCAGTAATATTTATCAAGGATATGACAGAGAAAAAATTAGCCCAGTACTTAAAAATAAATCAGCTTGCCCTATCAAAGCAGAATACCTTTTTCAGCATGATGCCAACACAAAGTCAGGTGCACTTGAGGAAGAACATTTGCTAATTCAGGTCAGGAATGGTGTATAAAGCAAATGAATCACCAAAATGAGTACCAGCGCAAAGCTGCAAAGAGTAACTGCACTAGAAACCAATGCAGCAGCCTGGATGAATGAAATCAGTCAAACAAGATCCTTCCAGGTTTAAGAGGAAGGTTTTGGTTGAAAACATTCATTTATTTTGAAGCTTTGATGCACTCTAAAAGGAAGAAGTTAATACTCTGTAAATACAGAGATGGAAATCCTGTAAACGGTCAGAACTCCAGGGCTGGTTGATGAATAAAACACAGCAGATCCATTTCAGCTATTGGATTTCTAGAAATGAAGCTGATTTGTCTTTATGTGAATTGTAGGTGCAAGCTATAACAACAGAAGCTTCCTTTGCATCAAGAAAAATCCACAGTGGGGTTTGCACTTCTGCAAAAGAATCAGTTCTCCTTTAAAAATAATTACTATTTTGTTTTCATTAAGCTGGTGCTTAACCTGAAAGAAAAAAATTCTTAAAAAAAAAGAGAAGAAAAAAAACTCCTTTAAAAATAATTACTATTTTGTTTTCATTAAGCTGGTGCTTAACCTGAAAGAAAAAAATTCTTAAAAGAAAAGAAAAAAAAACAGAAAAAAACAGTAAGGTCTAGGGAAAGTTAATAACTATTTGAAAAAGGAATATTGAATTGTTACTGGAGAGATTCATTTATTTATCAGAGATATGTTGGGGATGGGGCAAAATGCACAAGTACATAGTTGAATGTTCACTACAGATTCGAAGTGAAAAGAATTTTTTGTTATGAAGGTGAATTGGCACATGAATTAAAAATTGACTTTGAATATACCACTCCAGATTGGACATTGGTAGAATTGGAGAACAGTTTTCAGTGGAAACATCACTTTTTACTGCAACATTTTACTGGTTTGTGTCAAATTTGAAAACTATCTCCAGTCCAAAGAAAGCAACAGGAGACATTAATAGGAATAATTTTCAAAAGACATGCTTGAAGTCAAGATATTTTTGTTCTAATGTACTTGCTCTTTAATAATCCAAAGGAATTAAGACCCCTCAGTAACAAATGAAAACATTTTTTCATTGTATGTTTTACCTCCTCAAGGACCATTCTTTTTAAGAAGTGCTAATACTGCAGCAGATACACACACAGAGCCCTAAAATAAATTAAAAAAAAAAAATACCCACCTGTTACCATCACTGCTTTATGCAGCCAGAATATAATCCTGCCAGCAGGGTAAATCTGGACTTACAAATTGTTAACTCTTTAGTATTTTGAACACAATTCAACACAGTCAATGATACAGTGCAGCCAGAATATAATCCTGCCAGCAGGGTAAATGTGGACTTACAAATTGTTAACTCTTTAGTATTTTGAACACAATTCAACAGTCAATGACACAACATCTGTCCAAATTGACTGACCGCATCCCAAGTACCTTGTGGTATCGTGCAATGATTTTTAAAATAATTTTCTGACTTGAAATAGCAAGGGCCAGGATTTTTTTTTCTTCTGAATTTGTACAACATCCTTCCAAATTGTTTAAAAGTCAGTGTTGGAGAATATCATTTTTAACCTGATTAGGAAAATGGGGGAAAGTCATATTGGGAGATAGGGCAGGAGTGTGCACGCACGCACATATAACTGCAGGCACACTCATCTCCAAGTAACTTCCTTCGTCCTTGTCACCCCGTGGCTGGCTTAGTCATTAACTGCCTCATCAGCTTCTTTGACCTCATGCACACAGGTAAATGCTGTATTAGGATGGAGAAATTTCTGACAATCAACTTATAAATCTGAGCCCAACAAATATGTGGCTTCCCTACAACTCACTTTCCTACAGTTTTGTTTTTCATGATGGCAATATTTCCCCAGAGGGTCATATTTGCACTGAACAGTGAGTATCAGCAGTAGGTTGCAGACACCCCGCAATCCTCTTCTGGCCCGTTGATTTCATTAGCAACAGGTAATCAGCAGGGCTTTTGCCCTTTTCAGTTCAGGGGTCTTTTCTCTGGGCAGTTTCAAAACATGACATTTTGTCATTGATCAGTGGGACGAGTGGTTTCTCCTCCCATTGCTATTACAAGTGAGTCAAACCTGGGAGTTTCAGGAGATGCACCTCGAAGGACTGACAATTAACAAAACTAGTCTTGGTGTAGTCAAAGACTGCCTGGCCTTGCTTCTGAGCTGTGCATCTGGGTGAAAGAAGAAAGAATGAGTTGTGGCACGTCCCCCCTGCTTTGAAGACTCCACAGTTACTCTTCTTTTGCACTGAGGTTTAGGTGTTCCTTCCAAAGTTAATCCTTGTTTTCACTCCAGTCCTCTGCCTGGAGAAGAGAACCCGTCTTCTAGATTTTACAGGAATTAGATGCTGGAATTGCAATTTCAATTTGGCATTCAGGTATTGGAGCTAATGGTATGCATGCATCTTAAAAAACATCTGATGGGGGTTTGGCTGCTATTTGTTGGTCTGGTAATGTAGTCAGAGCTTATGCTCTAACAGTTCCTCCCTGCTGTCTCTCCTTAATGCTTGGACAATAACTGGCCAGAGATAGAAATATTTCTGGATGAGTCTACTTAAAAAGTTCCACCTTTCACGTGGATCTTGTGCACTCTGTTTTCCACAGCACCCAGCTAAATGCTGAAGGCTAACTTCCATTTGTGTGTGCTTTGCTGGGAGAGCTGGATACAGCAATAGGATGGTAGGGAGTCCAGAGAGGTCCCTTGGGAGCCAAGAAGAAAACGCAGCTCCTCCTTCCCTTACAAAGCAGGTAACCTCCCTGCCTGCTCCTGCTGAGCCCCTCACCGCGGCTCTTTCACACTCAGCACACAGAATTACAGGCTGTGGAAGTTTCCACATGTGAAGTCAATTCAGCATCACACCCTGGGGTTGATGGGGGGTAACCTTATAACCTCCTTTCCTCAGCTGGTCTCAGGGGCACTAGCGATGCTTCAGTGGAAAAAGGGGGTGGCAGCCTTGCCTCACCTTATAAGAAGTACCTAAGATCACCTGCAAATTCAAACTCAAGCCAGCATGATGATGACAATGATGACAACAGTGCCTCTGCAGGAAAGGTATGGTTTTTTGTGCTGCACTTAAGTATGCTCATACAAACAGTGGCAGGAAATTGCCTAATAGTTGTGTTTCTCCGCTGGTCGATACCGAAACCACCTCATGGTGTTGTGGTTTGGCCACCTTTGGTTCTAGATGTATTCACCAAGATCCTAGCAACAGTAAGGGCTTGCTACTGGAAAAAAACATTATCTCCCCACTGAGTTAGATTGCCGTTTGGTTGCTGAACTGTTCCCTGGCACAGCTCTGGTCAGTGCAACTGTAACCCTTCCAGCCACTGCCTTGGGCTATCTTTTGGGAGAACAGTATGTGCCAACAACTGCTGCTGTGGATATTTTAAAGAAGCCACCCTATTTTAGAGCAGAAAGGTTTAGTTGTCCTGGCAGGTGCTTAACCACTGTGCCTGGTCTCAGGGTTAACTGGAGTCCTCATCCAACTGAAAGCCTGTAGAGGGACTGCAGGACCTGCATGTCCACCACCTGGTGGATCAAGCATCACATTTATCTGTGTTCAGTCTGCCCATTAGGAGTACTGAACATCTTCCAATTCCAGAGCAAGCAGCATCTTCTTGACAACTCGTTTCAGAATCTAGAGGTGTGCTGAGATTTGCCCAATACACCAAAAGTGAGTGCCCAGAATCATCCCACCACCCTTTCAGCCAGCCTACCAGAAGCCTTCCTGATACCTTGAAATGTGAAACTGCATCCCTTGATCCTACACCATGTTAGGGTAGGAGGAGTGGTATGTTTGAACTCACCACTAAATGCTAAATTCTCATTGCGATGTTGATCAAAAGCAAGCCCAAAAGTCATGTTAGATTTCCTTTGTCAGCCGAGTTGGGAATTGTTCATCATCTCCATCCAAACTTATCAGCAGTTTCTACCCAGCTTGTGATCCTGTTATTCTCAATTCCATGTTTCCTTCCAATAAGGTATACTCTGGTGGGCTCTGAACCTCCACAAGTCCCTAGGGCTTGGGAGGTCTGGTCTAGTGGGAGATGTCCCTGCCCATGG